CAAGCCTGTGAGCTTGTGAAGCTTCAGAATAGTTTGCTGGTTTTCCACATATCTTACTCTACAGGGCAACTCAGAAAGCACGCAGCACAAGATGCTTCAGCCAGGTGGCACATTAAAAATTCTTAGGGGGTTAAAAAAGGAAAGCAATAGTTCTGACTAGTCACACAAAGAGGTGTGATTCTGCATCTCCCCAGCAAGTAGCAGAGTGACGTGACAATTCAGTTACACAATCAGAAAGAAGGATAAGAATACTTTTTTTTACCCCTAGATTTCTCTCCTAGGCAGCAAGCCACACTTTCCAGCATTATATGCAAGTTTGGAAGGCAGACAGGAAAACAGCTCAATACAACAGCTTCTCTCAAGCATACAGAGAAACTTCACAGTTAAGATGCAAGCTTCCTAGATACAATGCTATGTGCAGATCAGAGAACTAGCAGAGTATTCCATAGCTATCCCACCTTCCTCCTAAGGCACTATCATAGAATCATAGAATCTTAGGGGCTGGAAGGGACCTTGAGAGATCATCTAGTCCAACCCCCCTGCCAGAGCAGGGTCACCTAGAGTACATCACACAGGAACTCATCCAGGTGGGTTTTGAATGTCTCCAGTGAGGGAGACTCCACAACCTCCCTGGGAAGCCTGTTCCAGTGCTCTGTCACTCTTACAGTAAAAAAAATTTTTCGGATATTCACCTTGAACCTCCTATGCTCCAATTTACACCCATTACCCCTTGTCCTATCACTGGTCATCACTGAGAAAAGCCTAACTTCATCTCCCTGACACTCACCCCTTACATATTTGTAAACATTGATGAGGTCACCCCTCAGTCTGCTTTTCTCCAAGCTAAAGAGACCCAGCTCCCTCAGCCTTTCCTCATAAGGCAGATGTTCCACTCCCTTAATCATCTTTGTACCTCTGCGCTGGACTCTTTCGAGCAGTTCCCTGTCCTTCTTGAACTGAGGGGCCCAACTATATTTCCTGCTCTCCAGATGTGGCCTCACCA